AAGCTCATCTCGCTTTTCAAAATCGGGGGTGATCCAATGGCCAAGGATACTCATTATCGCAATCTGATTTTCCGACGTCCAAACGTCAAGAGACAAAGCGAGTGTGCGGCTGCTCCTGGCAAGCTCCTCTTTCACTGAAGCCCTACTTGAATGGAATTCCTCTTTGATTCGGTTGAAAAGAGTATCAGCAGTCTTGATGGGCAAAGAAGCCCCCGTTGCTTCAATGAGTGCCCTGAAAGCCGGATGCTCCACCACTGTAAAAGGCTGTCTTGTTTGAATGACCCATCGGACTAGCATTTCTTCAACGCCAACCTTCTTTCTCGGCGACTCCAAGAACCGGTCGAGGCTTCCTTCGACCGCGGGTAAGAAGATGGAGTCGGCCCCAGACTTGATACGATGCTTTTTCTGGAGATGCACCAACAAATTCGAAGTGGAACCATAGCGCGACGAATCTCTGGAGGACCAGCTGCAATGTTTGCAAATCAGCAGTCGGTCTTTTTTCAGTGGGCCACCCTGCCGACACCAAGTGCTATCCAGATCTGTGGTCCAAAAGTGCTCAATGGTCCAACTAGAATACGACTTGGTTTTTCGTCTTTTATGTGGGTGCGGACTACTAGTATTGCTCCTGCTTTCCGAAAATGCAGGATCAAACGGGGAGGGGGAAGAGCTAAGCAAAGAATAAGACTGCTTCGTCCGAGGCGTGTCTTCGGTGTTCCTAGGTGGGGAAGGCTCAGGAGAGTAAGGGCGTCCTGTTTCAAAGGTGGATTCCTCAGACTGCTCCGAAGGTGACGAAACCAGGCCATTGTGTAGAGCATTATAGTCTCGACGTGGAAGACCACGCGTTCTCCGCATGGACGGATTAGGTGTAGATGCCATGCTACTTTTTCCTGGTATCAGTATATCAAAATGGTATCGACGGTGATGCATCACATACCTTGAGCTACCTGGGCTGGGGTTAGAAACTGATAGGGGACTTGAGGATAGGATGATGGTTGACAAGCCCAGTCATGTTCACGCTTTATATGCCCTTGTTGACGTGGAAAGTTGATAGATCTCTTTTCTGTTTTCTGCAACGCGACATTGACGATTCTGAACGTAAACAAATGCAGCCAGGGTCATTGGAGGCTCTGGGTCGTGGAGCAAACGCGTTTTTACGTGCCATTTCTCAAGGCTACTTTGTGCACCAAGTTTGGAGTGCATTGGAATAAAATCAGGGAACTGAGAAGAGCTATTCGTTTAATTGCCTAAGATGATTTGCAACTAGGTTGACAGATATATATAATATTAACGGATCTTCGTGGCCGGTGTCAAGTTTCTATGGACAGACCCACGTGAACGAGTATCATGTCTCAAAAAGATCCACTATGGTACATCAAGCTGGTCAACTCTACATAGGTAGGTTGTACCTCCCAGCATATATTCGCAATGGAAATTCATAGCTCAGCTTTGCTGATGAAGTGATGGTATTGTGAAATCGACCACTAAGCGCATTTCGGTAATACGATAACCGCTGTACCGGACAAAGTATTAATGCGGAGAAATTTCATAATATGAATAATATGAATGCGAATATGAATAATGCGTTTATTCGCGCGAATAAAAAATTCATATATTCATATTCGCGGACTGCGAATATGATTATGTTGTATATTCGCATTCCTTTATTCCTTTCGGAACCCTAACACTCTTAGTCAATGGACTCAATATCGATAAATACTTTCGCATGACACGACGCTCGACGCCCATCCTGTTGACTGTCGATAAGGATCTGTCAGGAGTTGCGCAGCTGCCTTTTGTCAGTACTGAAGTTTTTCTGCAAAACGATCGATGTAGCTATGGTTCATCGCTCGAGAGTCCAAACCATATGGCACATAAGGATGACCTCGAAAGGACTCTTTATCGTGCTGAGAACAAAGGCAGCTTGGGTGTTGTCAAAGGGCTCGCAAGCTCTGCAGCAGTGGAAAATTGGCAAAAGGCCGTGGCTCTGGCGTACACTGTCAATCAAGGCCACTTATCTGTGGCTAGGTACTTGATCGAAGAGGGAAAGGTCAATGTGAACCAAAAGATTTGCCTGTCCGATTTCTTTGCATCATATCTCACACAATCAGCGAGTCAGGGAGATTTGGAAATGGTGAACCTTCTCGTGAAAGCCGGCGCTGACCTTGATTGCCCGAGCTTCCAGCGCATGGCGGATTCCCATCTTTGCATCGCTGCTGCCAGAAACCATGAAGCTATAGTACAATAATTGATTGAGATGGGCCTGCGACTCTCTTGTGTGAAGTTCTTTGACATTCTGGATTTGGCAGAATTTTCTGACATGCCAAACTACTAGATCTAGAATGTGGTAAAGGGGGTGACCTCCGGGCAATCATGACCGGCCCTCAGTATCAAGGCTGTGGGGCTACGCCAGAAGCTGTTTCCACAATAAGATCGCAGCCTGCAATGTTCTGCCACTCTTTCAAGAATGTTGGGACATGCGGGTTTCATCCCACGATTGGCAACATTTGACGGGAAGTTTTGGAATCGCATTACTTTATGGGAATTTGGCTCTTGCCCGATACATCGTCGACGAGATGGTAAATTCTCATAGGATACTCTGGGGACGCGAATGGTCGAATTTCATCTCTTACACAATATCCTATGAGAGTGTTCCGCCTTTGAATTGTTGCTCAATCGCGGGCCACCGGATGATCTACTAGAAGCCAGGAAGGGCTGGTTGAATAATGTGCTCGCCGAAGCGAGGGACTATTCCGAGCACATGGCGGTCCTTCTGCATCATGGTTATCTGGACGAAACAAACGATATCTGGATACTCAAGGACATGCTTGCTGGCGCGTTCGAAATTGGCAATCTTGCATATGTTTGGCGTCTCATAAAACACGGCGAACTGGGCTTCCTCGATGCACTCAACGGCCCGGATCTTGTATACCACGAGCAGACAGTCTGGCACATTGCAGCATATTACAGCTCATTGAAAACCTTCCAAGAATTCCTGTCTATCGAGAATCTAATTCTGGACCCGAGTAATCCCACTCACCCCGCCGCACTGGTTAGCGCAGCTGTAGGAACGAACGTCGATGTCGTCGGGTACTTTCTGGATTCGGGGTCTCACATTGATGCCTTGTACGAATCGTACGCGCCAAAAGAAGATATTGTGCCCGAGGCTTTGATGATCTAAGTGGCCATAGCACACGCCAGCACCGATGATTATCTCTCGATAAAAAAACTCGTGAGGATGTCGCAGCAACAATAATGTTCTTGTTTGATCGCGGGGCTCAGATAGACACAAAAGATTCGCGAGGGCGGACAGCTTTATCCATCGCTTTGGAGAACGGGAACCCCGAGCTCGCTAACGTGCTGCTCAACAGAGGCGCAGACCCACTGATTGCATTCGAATCGCATGATAATCTAAGTGCATTGGAACAATTAGTCCTGATATTCATACGTCATGAGTACGATGTGAGCTATCTCGACATGCTGCAAGCTTCTCTGGAAATGATGACAGCTAGAAATTATCAAACCGATGAGTTTCTCCCCCTTATGCCGAGTATCAAGGGCAAACTGTCTCGTCCGATCGTAATCTCACAGATTGAAGATGCTCCAAATGTTAAGGGCCCTATAACATTACCATACTACGAGGACAAGCATTATGTGCGTTGGTCACACTTCTTTCTGATCAAGGAATTGAGAAAACAATACTGGCGGGCCAAGTATCCAGTGTCTTTTCGATGAAAGTGGAAGGAAAGAAAATGCAAAGAACCAATTTGACTAATACTTGAGTTTAAGTTCATGAGCGGAGCGTACACGGGTAGAAGACACGCGATGGCAAATCAGGAAGGTCGTTCTGATACACCAGACACTTTTTTAACGGGCAATTCATGACTAGAGCCAGAGCCACCCAGGGGTCACAGGAAATCGACCTCATCTACAGAGATAAAAGAATACCCACACAGTCGGGACCGGTGGTTGAAACTTTTTCAACATCTCTGGGTGAGCCAAAAGAAAGTATCGAAGTTGCTGACTTGCTGAAGTTATTAGTTTCGGCGACAACGATCGATTTTCGGCGGCAGCTAAAACCCTATCCTACGGGGGTGGATGAACTCTGGCAGAGTTCGCTGTTAGGGTTTTCTATCGTCAAAAGAGGGCCGCAATCTTACTAGTGCGTCCGAGGGATATTCAGCACCCCTCTGCTTGATGATCGTGAGGCTCTCAACGACCTTACCAAGCTCATTCCCTATTCATTCTGCACTTTCTGTACTATAAAAAAATCACTCTTAAGTACTCAATTGGTTATGTCCGTACTAGTCCGTACTGTAACGACCACGTTCCGACAGAATGAGTGATGTAGTTAGTGTCAGTGGTAGTTCACCACTAAAGCCCGCTTTAGACAGGATCCACAAGTGAAGCTCACAAAGAAGCAAGCCCCTGAGTCTGAGTATGTATGTAACAGGCGGACGCATGTACTTGGAAAGAGACAACCGTTTAATCATAATTCATTGCTACATACGAGACCTTACCGATTCAGCGATCGCCGACAATACTTAACCACGGAGAAACACATACTTCCTGGTACAGGATCTATATTCCAGCAGGTATTGGCCTACATACATAGAAAATTTACAACCATTTGATTTATAGGGTTGTGTTATAACAGGACCACAACATCATCTAACTTTGCCATCGTCGAATATTCATGGCTCTACTGTTACATATTGCAATCAATGTTGCGCTATTGCGGAATATCTTGCTGTAGATATGTGGAGAAAAGTCAGACTGGGCAGAGGCCGGATTAGCCTGTATATGTATTCGTACAGTGGATAAGATGGGTATGATACAGATATTTACTAGGGGCTTCCACACACAAGTAGCATTAATTCTTTTGAATCGATCGGATTGAAGAGGGCAGAAAACATGTTTACCAGTTGGGAAAAAGTGGATAAGAAATATAATTCTAAACTAGACAATCCTAGGAATGACATCAAAATTGGCGATAAGCCCATTCAGAACTCTTGCTCGAATTCACCATAAGAGGCCATAGCGTCACCGGCAATCTCCTCATAATCCCTCTCCAGAGCTGCCAAGTTCTCACGAGCCTCGGAAAACTCGCCCTCCTCCATACCCTCACCCACGTACCAATGGACGAAGGCCCGTTTGGTGTACATGAGGTCGAATTTGTGATCAAGACGGCCCCAGGCCTCAGCGATAGAGGTGGAGTTAGAAAGCATAGTGACCGAACGGTCGACAGCTGCAAGTTGGCTATCAGGCACACTTACAGGCTTCTGGTAATTGATTCCAACCTTAAACCCGGTGGGACACCACTCGACTAGGTTGAACGACGCCTTGGATTTGACATGAGCAATAGCTTGGCTGCATTCGTAAGGCACAACGTCTCCTCGGTACAGAAGAGCCACGGCCATATACTTGCCCTTATAAGGATCGCAGACAACCATCTGATGTTTGGGTTCGAAGCCTGCCAAATAATCAGTACAAAACAACAGTTAATAACAAAAGACGCGCAAGCACATACACTGCATAGTAAGATCTCTAACTCTGTGGCCTTCGTGGCTGCTGCGGTTACTTGATATGATCGGAGCATATGAAATAAGAGGGTAATGAATACGCGGGAACGGCACGAGGTTGGTCTGGAACTCATTTAGGTCGACATTGAGGGCGCCTTCGAAGCGCAAGCTAGCGGTGACAGAGCTAACCACCTGGGCGATGAGCCGGTTGAGATGATCAAAGCCAGGTCGAGGGATGTCTAGGTTGCGTTTGCAGATATCGTAAACTGCTTCGTTGTCGACGAGGAATGTACATTCGGAGTTTTCAATGGTGCTATGGGTGGATAGCACAGCATTGTATGGCTCTACCACGGCAGTCGCCACGCTGGGAGATGGGTAGACTGCGAACTCCAGCTTCGATTTCTTGCCGTACTCGGCAGCAAGGCGCTCCAGCAACAAAGCACCGAAGCCAGAGCCAGTACCACCACCGATAGAGCGGAAGATCAAGAAGCCCTGAAGGGAGGAGCAGTTATCTGTTATAAGGTGAAATGAGAGGCCAGTAATCAAGAGAGCTTGAAAAATACATACCAGCCACACGTCGGATTCGATCAATAACATTATCCAAGAGCCCCTTGCCAACAGTATAGTGACCACGAGCATCTATTACGTATTAGCTTTCACGAACGCACGTATTTCAGATATGAGGGGCTCATGCAGTTATTGGCGGCATCTTCTTTCCCACTTATCAATTGTTCTGGGTGGAACAGATTGCGGTAGGTACCGGTGCGGATCTCGTCAACAGGCTGAATCGACCCCAAACATCAGTTATTCACAATAGTCTCCAGGCAAGCAGCTGGCTGGTTGTCACATACCGAAGGGTCGAGGTCGACAAAGACCGAACGGGGGACGTATTTGCCATTTTCGGCCTCGGCGAAGAAGGTCTCATATGAGCTGCTTTTGCGAATATCCTCGCTAATATCGGGATTTATATGTCCATCGGGCATCAAGTTGTGTTCGAGTAGATAACTATATTATCACCGAACGGTTAGTCATTGCCGAATAAGTATGGATCTCAAAGCAGTAAGACTCACAGCTCCCATGCCGCGTTACCCAGCTGGACACCAGCCTGGCCGACGTGAATATGACAAATCTAACAAGCCAGCACATCAGTGTCAGATATGTTTGGTTTGGAATACAAAAGTATTGAGTGCCAAACCGCGAGGCCGGATTGTGTGTTTCGCGCTTCAAGCCTAAGAAACTAGGCCGGGCAAGGCTGAATAATCAACACGGCCAGCGTTGAACAGTAAAAGGAAAGCTCGTACTTCACCGCGCATAGTAAATATACGAAAACTCAGAAACTGTTTTGCGTAATATTAGGTGGAGAGACGTGATATGGGTCATAGAGGGTGGTCATGTTTGAGAATTTCCAGATTGGGCAGGATGTGGGGCAGAATTATAGAGCGGTCTACTAGCGCGCTAATGTAGGGCTCCGGGCGCGGTCTGTCGGAACGTGGTCGTTACAGTATGGACTAGTACGAGCATAGCCAATTGAGTACTTGAGAGTGTTTTTTATATACTATAGAAAGTGCAGAATAAATAGGGGATGAGCTTAGTAAGGTCGTTGTGAGCCTTACGATCATCAGGCAGAGGGGGTGCTGAATATTCCTCGGGCGCGCTAGTAACATTTCGACCCTCTTTTGTTGACATCATTATCTAGTGCATGAGTCAGCGTGACTTTGATTGAGATTTGTGACCAAATTACATCATCGCTGAACGAAAACCGAAGCTGCACTCAAACCAGATTTTATCCATCTCAGACTACTCGAAACCATCCCCTCCCGATTTCTTGGTCGGATGATCCCCCTTTTGATAGTACAAAATTTACATGAGCCGTCGGGCTTACCTTGGCCAACCTGCAGATTTTAACGAAGCTAGGATGCCTCGCGGTCATCATGATAAGTTGAACAGTACCAAAGCCGCATCATCTATGGAGTATGCGACCGCCCAATTATCGGTAGATTTTATCAGAACGTTTGCCGGTGCGATCAGCGGAATCGCCTCCAGTATAGTGACATGCCCCCTGGATGTTATCAAAATAAAGCTGCAAGCTCATGGTGGTTTACGGCGACAAACAACCTCCTCTCGACTTCTGTACGCGAATCAGGGTTTACTCGGTGTCGGCCGTGAGGTGTGGCTCGAGAAAGGATTGAAAGGAATGTACCAAGGCTTAGGGCCAAGTGTACTTGCTTACTTTCCCAGGTGGGCTATTTTCTTCGCTTCTTACCATCGAAGCCATGAAGTATTCGATGTATGGTTTGGTAAGTTCATTCGGATTTGGCAAAATGCACCGTATTAAGATATGATGCAGACGCTCAGAGCCAGTGGGTGACCTCGTTTATGTCATCGCTCACCGCGGGCACTTTCTCCATCGCTGCCACCAACCCAATCTTAGTTATCAAAACTAGACTCATGTCGCAGACCAGCATCTCCAATCAGACGTATGCAAAGCCAGCTTGGCAGTACAGCTCAGCGTTTGACGCAGCTCGGCAAATCTTCATAAAGGAGGGCGTTTTAGCCTTCTACTCCGGTTTAATCCCAGCCCTACTCGGGGTATCGCATCTTGCAATCCAGTTTCCTCTTTACGAGCAACTGAAGAGGAGATTCACGGGATCAGGGCTCGGGGAAGAGAATGAAAAGTCTAGCTATAATATATTGGGGGTTCTAACGGCAGCCTCCATCAGCAAGATAGTTGCCAGCTCGGCAACGTATCCTCATGAAGTCATTCGCACACGGCTTCACATGCAGCAAAGTTTCAGGTCTACTACACCAGCACCACCGTGGTACAGTGGCATAATTGTGACCGCCTACACAGTCTGGCAAAAAGAGGGGTGGCGAGGTTTCTATGCTGGTATGGGTACGAGCATGATACGAGCTGTGCCAGCTTCGGTGACCACCATGTTGGTTTATGAAAATGTCCTCAATGTATTAATGACGCTTAAACTCGACAGCAATAGTAAATTGGAAGAGAAAAACTTATGATGAGCAACAAAGCTTCTTATTGCAAAGTTATCAAGACATGTTCCAAAAAGGAACTGTGGCTCCTTAGACTTAGAACAATTTAAAACCAAGTAAAGAAGTGCGATATCTGCTATGCTATTCTGAGCTTCATAGTATCAATGACGCAGACCTGATTGCGACTTCTGTCCTGTGGGTTGCAAGTGGAACCACGGCATTTCTATATTATAAAACGCCGACACAAAGTAGAAGGAGGGGATCCGACCGCCTCGCGTCAACCGTGCAGAAACTGCTACATCCTTCTACAGATATTCCAAATCAATTTTACCTACAATCAGTTTAACGAAGGAAGTCTAGACGATTTGAATCGTCCACTCCAAGTCCCCTCGGCAGATGCCGAGACAAACTCCATCAACTTGGTCGTCCTTGGAGGCACCTCGGATTTAATCATGACGATGCGGCTTGGTTCCTGATGCACCAGCCTCTTATCACAACACAGGGGTATCAGTCGAGCAGAATGGCTCCCTTCGCCCAGCGATACTGGCAAGGGCTCATCTACCGCGAGGCCCTTCTAACTCTGCACTGGTTCGCCGGTCGGCACCACTGATTCCACTCAGCGTAGGTGATCACATTTTACAGCGACCGCATGACGGAAATAGGAAACTAGCGAAGCGACTATTAGTCGCACGTGACGACATTTTATCAGGCCTAATACGGAAGAAAGAGATATGACGTCAGCTGAGTCCAGAACTAGATCAGTTTTGTTCCTCTTCCTCTTCTCGACGACGTAAATTCATAATTCTACTTGCCAAATTCAACTTCTTGACTTCATGACTCTTGAACCTTCTAAACACTAATCTCCAGATTATTGGGGGACTTGAATCAACCTCCCCTTCTTTCCCAGCATGACCACTCCCACTATCATCAACTTGCCACCTTCCCCATCGGATCCACCTACTCCGTCCGATATGGGACCGTAAGACCTCTTATCTCCATTTTCTTTACCCGTGCGTGCAAATCAATTGAAAATCGGTTGACTGACTTGGTCGATGGATGGGGATTTAGAGGCAGTCCCAACTCCGGCACTGCATCACTGTCCGCTCTATCGACAACGGCCATCAAGGACGGCCACCAGGGCCAACCGTTCCCACACGGTCGTCACTCACACTGCTAGTTCACAACATCCACCACAACCCCCGAACCCGAACGCGCAGACCGCATCTCTCGATTAGCTGGCCTAGGATGCATCACCACAACCCGCGCAGGCCAACAGGCATCCTCCAGCAAAATACTCCCGCCGTACGCGCCTGCATACTTTGAGACCCACGCTGCGCTTAATGAGTGCAGCACTGTGGGTAGTGGCAGCGCAACTGGCAGTATCGCCGGCCGTATGACCTGGGCGAGCGACAGCGATTCATACGACGCTGGCGGAATCAGCGAGGACCACGACCAAGGAAACGGGACCTCGAGCGTCGGCAGTGATGAAGGCAATGAGAACCAGGTTAGATTCGGCGAATGCGCCAACAGTACCAGTAGCGGGCCGATTTCTCGCCCGCCTGGATTGAAGCGAGTGTCCTCTAGGCGTCTTGGAGCGGGGCATAACTCCAAGGGTAGCTCGAATGTTAATCGGTCTACTGCTCTCGCTTCCTATCTTCAGGAGCAACAGTACCATGCGGGGGAGAGTTCGATGACGTCACTTTCACCGACGCCTGGTTCGCGTGCCCCCGAGCCTCTGAATCGGAATACTCACACGCCCGACGGCATGTCTTTTGATTCTGATCTACTCGATACCACGGCAAGATCCACGCCATTGGCTAAATCCTTGGGTCGCAGCAGGAATGGGTTTGGTTCGCAACAGTCTGGTTAAAGCTTTGGTAGGTTAAGAGGTAACGAAGGCGTTGGTTTAATTTCTTAGTTGTTTTATGCCTCAACAGTCTGCAAGCGTAGTACCCCGATTTGATGCAACACTACAATCTCCATTGCTATGTTCTGCTCAGCACTTGGACAAGAATTAAGGTACAATTGGGAGATCGGTGTTTCGATGTTTTTAGTGCAAACTCGCGCGGCCACGGGGTCTACTGGTGTTCTTTTATGTCTATGGGCTCGTTACCCCTTTTGCGATGTCCAGAAACATGTGTTGGCGAATTTGGAAGGGCTCTTGGCTAATCTCAAGGGAAGAATCAAGTCACAAAAGAATCAAAGGATGGACATTGCACAAAGTACATGAGATAGACATGGAACACAAAGATTCCAGAGATCAAGGATTCATAGCTCAAATCTTTTCTGGATTGATTTCAGAAACAAAATCTCCATCACTAAAGACTAGAGTAACACCAAACCAACACGGGCCTTTCCGACAGCAAAAGTAATTCTCTTATGACTTCGTGTTACTTTCACTTCCGAAGATGTAAGACTTGGAAAAGCCGTGAAGGAAGCCTTCACCTCGGCACCAATTTTTCGTCACTTTGACTCGGACAAGCCTAGAATATTGAGTGTGATTCATCAGACTACGTCAATGCAGGCTGCTTGGCTCAGCCTGATCCAGAGGGGATCTTGCACCAGGTTGCTTTATTCTCTCGCAAGCTGTCTCCGGCAGAAGGCAATTATGATATCTATGATAAGGAACTGATGGCTGTTGTACAGTCGTTCGAAGGATGGCGAGCCGAGCTGGAAGGCGCAGATACTCCTGTACAAGTGATCAGTGACCACAAGAACCTCCAACATTTCATGACAACCACACGCCTCAGTCGGCGACAAGCACGATGGAGCGAGTTTCTATCACGGTTTGATTTCTAACTCGTCTATCGCCCAGGGACCCAGGGTGGAAAACCAGATGTTTTGACCAGACGATCATCGGATATGCCACAGACGGATGATGACAAGAGGCTACGACACCGGGACCAGCCAGTGATCAAGCCACAGAACATCTCACCCGGAATGCATCCGCTTGCCTTGATGCAGCACACATTACACCAAAATCAAGATTATACGCAGCAACCCCTCGATTGTTTGATCACCGCTGCTTATAAGAAGGACCCAACACCAACAAAGATACGAGAGACCATGGACACGCATGACCGCCAGCTTCCGACAGAGCTGGCTCGACTCAGGATCCCCATCAACGAAATGGTAGAAAAAGAAGGGAAGTTAATTTTGAAGGACCAATTGTCTTTGCCGAACGATAATGAACTATGTCTCCGTCTCCTACGATTGTGCCATGACAATGCTGCCGCGGGGCATCCTGGAAGAACCAAAACCTATAAATTATGTGCGCAATTGGGACACCTGCTCGCGCTCCAAATCGTCACGACTGCCCTACCAGGGGCTTTTGCAACCTCTGGGCGATTCACTGGGCTGCTGACCCCCTTCCTTTCCCTGGTGTGGTGAGCTGTTCGGGGCATCCATTTTGTCCACAAGAGAATATCATGGGTCTGGTTAATACAATTTCTGTTGACCTTTAGTGTCTCTTATAGACTATGCAGACGCAGGTGTTTATGGGCTGGGTTTTACAATCATCACAACGGTCAATCGGAGTAGTCAAGTTGTTGACTGGAGTTTTACTTTTCAGCGGACTGTTGACTATTTATTCAACAATAGGGATAGTTGGTCGAGGAAACTGATCAAGCCTCACGATGTTGAGGGCAAGAGATGCATGTTTGTTGGGGACATAGAATCTAATCATACACCTCGTTGCCTTTCCTTGAACGCCTCAGAAATCCGATAAATGGAATATTGTAGGATTGTGACCATAAAAAAAAATATAAAAATAAAAAATAAAAAAGAGCACTGAAAGTTATAAGGTAAAAAAGGGATGTTTTCATGGTCGCAAGTTGGAAAATTGAGTGTTGACAACGTGGGTCGAGCACGACCTCACTTTCTGTAGTTTAGACGGACAGACCCATAGCTCAACACAACAACACAACACTGAAGCGAGGCTATGAAAAAAGTCCACGATTTCGAGAGATGAAATTGTAGGCGCTTTTCGGTGATTCAACGTTGAATCGCTCACAGGTGAGGTATCAGAACATGAAATATGAGCCTGTCATTGCGGACGGAATACCTTCCACGAAGCCTCAATTTAAGAGGGGCCTGAAGGGTTCAGAAGTGAGCCAACGTTTCTTCACCGACCCATCATCCTTTTCTCAGCATCACTCTTGTCTCTCTCGCTGAGCATCTAAAACATTGAAAATGTCGCTGCAAATAGTTGCGGTAAAAAGAAGACCTCAGTTTCAACATGCCTCGATTAGGACAGATGTACTTCAATACTGCCTGCCCGGCTTGTAACTGACAGAAGCTGACAAGCCTATAAATACGTCCTCTACCCCGACAGTTTGCTCTACAATTATTCACTTGATAACGCAAAGGCGAGCAGGTTTGTGTCTGAGCCACTGGATAACTTCTTCCCCATTGATCCAGTACTTAAATACCCACTGTACTGACATTTATAGAATACATCGTGGATTAGCAAGCCAGACATTGCGTATGAGAGATACAGATATGTTTCCCACCAGATGCACGGCCGTTCACACCAGCAGATTAAAGATGTCTATGCGAAGATGCCTCCACAAACAGCAGCCAACTGAGCTGATCTCCTGCACAGCCTCTGTGTGTATTCCCAAGAGAAAGCGCGAATACTCTCGTTGCAGGTATGTGAATCTTAGCCTGACTTGGTTGGATTCTACTGATCCTGAAGACGATACGATTCCAATAGAACCGACATTCGACCACAATGCACGAGCGCAAGGACCACAGCTCTTTACCGTCTCTTAGTCCCCTTAGTCCCCAGTATTAGCCACCAGAAACTGTGAGTCATGGATTATCTCGTCGATCCCCAATCTAGTGAATGACAGTGAACCATAGCATCGCACCAGAGTGGCCCCCGATGATACAGCACCCCGTTAGTGGTCAATACAAAGCCATGACCTACACACCATTCCTGACCCGTCGTTTCAGACCGCGCATCATACCCTAGGTGAGGTATATAAATCAGGAAGTGGGCCAATAACAGGGTGCGGTCATCAATTTGCGAGCTTCGCTGCATAGAAACCTGCGACGTCCATTCTTCCTGATAATGTGGGTGATTTATCGCTCCCTCTGCTGCGCTATATCAGTCATTTGTGCAAATCCTTATGCTCCAAAATACGAACGCAATTACTAATTTCATGCCATTGTACATAGGAGCAGCCCATCGCCTCCATGAAACATCCTTGTGGGGGAGTCCTTTATCGACGCATCGCAGATAAGACCAAGGAACTACGACGCACGCTCCACCCCGTCTTCCGCGTCTTGTGTTGTTGTTGTTCAGAGGTATATATTGACTTGTTATTTCAGAGGGATAATGAGCCTGTATATACAACAATTACCCAAGTTGATTTCCAATCAACTTGGTCGTCTGTATAGACACTTCGGAGCTAATTCCGACGGTGCGGCTTGGTTCCTGATCTGCACCGGCCTCATATCACAACATTCCCCCTCAGGATCGCTTTGCTGGCAAGGCGGTACTGGATCAACGCTGTGCAGGCAAGCTTCGGTAAAACCACTCAAAAACCTTCGTGGGAAAATAAAGTGGAAAGAGCGCCTGCGCTGTCACGTTTGTTGCCTCCGAGTCTCCAAGCCTTCGATTCCTAGAAGACTACAGAACTTGGCAAAAGCCGTAGGTCCCACGGCTTGGAGAGACCGTCAGCGGCTTGTTCCTCAGTAGGAACATATTGAAGACATATCTCGCCAGCATTCAGCACTGCTCGCTGATAATGGAATTTCACGTTGAAATGTTTGGTCCGTTTGCGGAACTCGGGGTTGCACGAGAGGGCAATAGCGGACTGGTTGTCAGCCATGATGTTGGTGACCGGGGACCGGTACATTTGCGTTTCTGCTAGGAAGGTGCGGAGCCACTGCAGATGTAGAAGGACTTTGTATTGTCCAATGTACTCGGCATGAGTCGTAGACGTGGCCACTTCCCCTTGTCTCTTGGAAGACCAGGAGACTGGTGCGCCTGCAAGTTGGAACACATAGCCAGACGTGGAGTATGCCCCATCAGTGACGACGGAGCCACCGAAGTCGGCATCTGTGTATCCGATCAGCTGACCACTGCGGTATGTGATGCGATGGCATTGCGTGGCTTTGGCATAGCGAAGCAATCGCTGCAGGGCGACCTGGTGGTGCGATTGTGGCTGAGACGTGAAGCGACTCAACGTGCCCAGCGCAAACGCAATATCCGGCCGCGTGCCGACCATCAGATACATCATTGAACCGATGGCGGTTGCGAATCGTGCTTTTGTTTCCTCGTCCGGAGGTTCTTCGTCTGGACGGCGATTCAAGTCTTGCTTGGAATTCATAGGGGTAGATTTCGTCTGACAGGTTTCCATGCCAAAGTCGGAGAGAACCTTTTGGATGTATTGGTGTTGGTGAATGGAAACGGCTCCGTCGGCATGGTAGTCAAGTTGGATCCCGAGGAACGAACGTGGAGTTCCCAGGTCGTTCAATCGGAATTCTTTTTCCAGTGCTCGTTGCACTTGGTCTATCTCGTGCGAGGTTGCTGCAGCAACGAGAAAGTCATCGACGTAGATGCAGATCACGCAATTGGATTTATAGAACACGCAGTTGTCCGATTGTGCCATGGTGAAGCCATGAGCGGCCAGCACGCGGTGGACGCATTGGTACCAAATCCGCGGGGCCTGCTTGAGTCCATACAAGGAACGACGAAGCCGGCAAACATATCCTGGTTCTTCGAAGCCTTCGGGCAACTCCATGTAGATGGAAGAGTCTATGTCCCCATGTAAGAATGCAGTGACCGCATCAAATTGGTGAAGCTTCCACCCTCGTAACACAGCGCTAGCGATGATGCAGCGGACCGAGTCCATCCGTGAC